ATAATAATCGGCTTTATTCATCGAATAATTACAAATTAAACACAGTGTAACAATCGATGAAAGGCAAAGTTCAGCTTATATGCTGTTTTTCAACTTAACTTAACGATAAAATATACTCAAAACTTATTGCAATATACTCAAAACTCATTTCGTGATGAGGTATTGATAATAAGAAAGTAAGTAAAAACCATAGCAAAATTCTTTTTAGATGGTATCCTTTAAAAAACTTTAAATGATTTCAATGGCAACGTTAGTTTAAAACGCCGTATTTTGTATGTTACAACATTAGTTGTCCTCATTTCAATTTAAGTTTGAAGTTCGTTAACCTTAAGTCTGACAAATGGTTAGATTAACGGAAATGCATAAAATAACAGTTTTACAGATGATTGGTTACGAAGATTAAACTCGAATACAACAGAAAGTAGCCATTCATTGATAGTAAACATATTGAAAAAAAATAAAACGCATCCCTATAAAATGATACCTACTCAGAAGCTCATGGAAGACGATTCCGATAGAAGAACTTATTTTTGTGAGCAAAAGATGGACATGTTGTAAAACAATATCATCCAATTAGAAGACGTTATGTTTTCTGAAGAGTGTTTTTTTAACGGTCATGCTAATCGGCAAAATTGCCGCTGCTGGTCAACGGAAAATTGTCACTGGATGAGAGAAGAACACTCGCAATACCCTCAAAAGGTTAATGTTTGGGCAGGAATTGTAGGAAACCATATAATTGCTTCCATTCAGGGCAACTTGAATGGCGGCAACTATTTGGCACTACTTCAAAATGATGTCTTTCGAAGTTTAGCAAATTTATATCCTGATCCAGGAAACGCTCAAGTTCCAGGGAATACGATATGGTTTCAGCAGGATGCAGCACCACCACATTACCAAGTTAATGTACGGCAATACCTCGATACAACATTTCCCATTCGGTGGATAAGGAGGCGAGGATCGATTGAATGGCCAACGCGATCATATGATCTTCCGTCATTAGATTTTTTTTTATAGAGATATGCAAAGGGCATTGTGTACAAAACTGAACCTTCAGATTTGAATGCCTTGAAAGAACCAATAACGCGTGCGATTAGATCGGTTACGCCTGATATGTTAAATGATGTTAGAAGACAGTTTCATTTGAGATTAGGATGTTGTCAAGATGTTCGCGGGAACATTTTGAACATCTACTTCGTCAACATCTATAGTTCTGTTTTGTATTCTACATCTCATTACATTTTGCATTATTTTTTGAGTGTATTTTATCGAATTTCGGTAACCACATAATTTTAATTTATTTTATCTCAATTGTTGCAATGAACTTGAAAGCGATTACAGTTTTGGATAGAGAATAAAAAGACCTTTCAAACAAAATATCACAAACATATACTTACCATTTAAAAAATTGGGGGTTGTACCTGTCATTCGAAGGGGGTTGAAGGTAGGGGTGGCAATTTTACTTTAAAAAATTTCAAATTATAATTAACATTTGACGTATTTTGGTATTTTTTTAATATGTACAGTGACCGAAATAATGAATTTATTCCATTTGACTTTTACATACCGTATATCATTTTAAAAATGCACATTTGAATTTTCTGTTGATTATTGATAAGTGTTTTTGAGGCTCCTCCTCGCTAAAGTTTGCACTAAAATGTTACGAATCACAAAATCATAATATAAACGAAGATGGGTGTAAAAAAATTCTTGTAATTCGCATTTGATCCCATTTTTTACTCCAGCTCATCTATTTTAACTGATTTGATTATTGATTAACATTCTGAATTTTTTCTCTTGCAGATGCAGTCAAAAAGTCGATTATTTTCATCATCATGGGAAGCATATTTATTCTGATTGGTTATATGTCCTGTTTAATTGGCCAATGTATGGATAATAGAGCACGTTATACATTATTTTCCGGAGTTATTTTCATACAGACAGGTAATGTGAAATTTTTATTTATTCATGATTACTTTTCAAAATGAGCTAGTATTAGACATAACCATTCAAAATATTTTTGTATATGTGTAATCTAGTACACGAGTTGAAAATAGAAATAATGGTCGGAAAAAATCGTGCGATGGTTCATCCGATTCGGCAATGTTTATCGGCACATAAAAAATTGCAGAGTCCATAAACAAATCAGTATTCAGATTTTCGCAAATATTTCAATGATTCCTTCAAAAATAGGAAACCAAAAAAAAATTGTTGCACCCCTCGTGACTCAATCCCAGTTGGAGATGCGGACGCGACATCTAATGCAAATACGTTACAAAAATATATTTTTTCAATAAATCAAAAATCTATTTTGTTAATAGATTTTCAATACAAATCATGGGATTATAAAACAAGAACAAAAATCAATTGGCGCTCCGGGCCGACTTCATTGATTCCAGTGGCGCATTTGCTTTTTCAGCTGCAGCTGATCTGTCAATGTTATCTCTCTCATAAAACAAAATGTAGGGTGTCTCCAGAGGCTCCAATGAATTTAATACATAGCCAGAACACTTCGTGACACGACTATCGTCAAACTAAAACCAGTCCGTTCCATCTTTGACCAAGGCGTAATAATGACCAAATTCAACGCCAGAACCACAGTGAACAATGACTGCATGAATATTATAATAGTGGTCTGCTAAATTGAAGTGTTCATCTATATTGAACCTTCGAAAGAGTTTGGTGCTTCCGTCAGAGGTTGAGTCTTGTGTGAAGATCATCAGTGTTATTATTGGATTGACTGGTGCCTCAGCTATACTCATTTCCTTATATCAGTCAGTTAGTTTGGCGCATGTTTGGCAATACAGTAAATCATCACCTGTTAAAAATTCCATTTTCAGATGATTTAACAATCAGCTTTGCACGGACTGGTTATTAGTCATATCAGGAAACGCTAGATGAAGTTTCAGAAATTCACATAGGGTTTTGCTACCTCTTGAACATTCACTACAAAGTAAACAAATCAGGATTTTTCCTTCAGAAGATTTACAAACACAAGACTTGTAAAATGCCATTCATGTAGCAAGTGTGATCCCTGAGGTATCTAATGACACAACAAGCTGACGTTAATTTACCCGATACTGCGTTTACCTGATCTGTGCAACGCAATTCTTTATCCATCGTAATCCCTAACGAATGAAATTATAAATGAAAACAAATTTGGTGATTCGTTGAGGAATGTCAATTATGATTTTCAAAATGAAAAACATTTCTTACCTGATTATTTAAACATTTTGAATAGAAAAAGACCGATGATAGTTGCCCCAAATTCACCCACGGAGGCCTGTTTTTGGCGTTAATTTAAAATTATAAACTGTTGAGATGACTAAGTAAGGAAATCAAAATAATTATTCAGATGAGACATAATCACGATTACAACGCAGACACAAAATCCAGAAGCTAGTCAGAAAACGAAGCCTAAAATTTGCGCACAGAATAATATATCCCCAGAGCGAACAATCAGAAATCAAGAAATTTGTAACGTTAACATATTTTAGTTGCGGAATTTTTCAGAAAAAACAATTTGTAAGTGGCATGCTGGGTTATCTAGTCACATTTTTTATGTCGAATATAAATGGCCAAAATTTCTCAAAACAGTATGCTGAACATGAAAGGTCCTTCACACTAGATAAAAAACCATCCCTTGGAATGCAACCACAAGTTATAGAATGTAAACGATACGGAAATGTTGCACTATGCAAGGAAGGGTTGGGAACTCAATTATTCAGAATTCTCAAAAATTCATTAGCTTAAGCATTACGGATGTAACCGACCAAATCGACTTGGTCTACTCGCCGATTTTCAGATTAGCGTACCCACATTATCACAGCTAAACATAATTTAGATAGTCATTCAAGTTAAGGACCGTCTGTTCCTACCTACAGTGGTGTATAGGTATATAAGGTTTAATATTGTTGATTATTTCATTTCATTGTATTCGTTCGAAAATAACCTTATAGGATGAAATTGCAGTAATGTTAGTTACTGCATTACTGTATTACCACCGTATAGAAGTAAACATAAGTAAGTTCACTCTCCGCCATATATGGGTCAAGATTCCCCACTTCGAATTTTATGCGCGGCCGAATTACAGCGCGACCGACTGAATCTGAGGCGTTTATTCATGAATGAATTGTGTGTATTTTCTATAATGTTATCCAATTTGGTACTGAAGAGCCTTAGGGCAAGAGTCTTACGGCGAATCATCGATGTATACCAGTGAGGATGACAGTGTAAAACTGTTGAGATGAAGTTTCGAGAGGTGGCACTATTTTTAAAACTTTCTCCTCTTCAAGGATCTATTTTTTCAATTCCTTAATTCTTTATAGTTTTTCAATTACTTGCAAAACCTGAATGATTGTTTTTACATCCTAATTTACTTGTAATGCACTGTTTGGAACCTTTGGTGTGGTAATCAATATTACTGGAGTTTTTTTACCAACATGAAACCGTTATTTTTAACACCTCAACACGTGTTTCAATCACCAAGTGACCATCTTCAAGAGAAGGAGGTATTAAAAATAACGGTTTGGAGTTGGGGAAAAATTCCAGTAATATTCACACCTCAATTTCACGTATTTGTTCGACCATTCTCTATTTTTCACTATTTTTATCTTGTGAACTAGACTGGTGGTGTGTATGAAAGAAGAGGCGTATTCTGATCAAATATGAATAAATGAATGGATAAATACCTGCCCGTTTTCTTCAATCTCCCAGTATAATTCTGGAATTAGTTTATTCGTTCTAGATATGAATTACTGATGTTTATATTCGTTTGGCGTTTTACATAAACTAAAATTGCCACCAAGTTAGTCTTGAAGGGAAGAATTTTTGTGGTCCTCACTTGTCACAGACCAAATCGATTTGGTCATTCAGTATATAACATCGTCAATGTTTATTCTTATGCAAAGATTCTAAATAATTGAGTTTCCAACCCTTGCTTGCGTTGTGCAAGTTCAGATTCGGGAGCTTGTTTTTGCATTCTAAGGAATGGTTTGGAATTATTTTTACTTCAATTGTGAATTGTTATTGTAGTGTATTTGATTTATATCCAATCTTCAAGTATGTCCAATTACTTTATCACCGGAAACTGCCGGTCTTATAGGGTTATCTTTTATTTATGAATTTTCATTAGGCCATATAGTTTAGGGCAGGAGGGGTTCGACAGCTTTCGATGTATGCCTAAATCAGAAGTACTTACAGTTCATTGAAAAATTTTATAAACAAACACCCCTTATCCCACTTTTAGCAGAAATATTTATGAACAACTTAGAGATCAATATAGTACATTTGAAGACTACTATAGTAAATTCCGACCTGGGTGAAAAACATATTTATTTTTGGTACAGATATGTACAAGATATTCTCATCTGTTCCAGAGTTGCTCGTACTACACGGCAGCTCAACCAGTTCATGACATTTATGAAAAATCTTGATAAAAACATACACTTTCTTTTGAGAAACAGAGATAGAGAAACAAAATAATTTCTCAGACCTGACCCACACATAATCATAACAAATTTGCTTTCAATGTATTCGGAAAACCCAGCTATACATATATTACAATACCAAGTGATTATTTTCATTCCGACAGTCATGAATTAGTAGCCTACAATTCAATGTTCTACAGAGCATTCTTGTTACCTTTGTCTGCTAATAATATAGGTAAGGAAATCAAAATGATTATACAGATGGGGCATAATCATGATTACAACGCAGACACAATCCAGAAGCTAGTCAGAAAACAAAGCCTAAAATTTACGTACAGAATAATATACCCCCAGAGCAAACAATCAGAAATCAAGAAGTTTGTAATGTTAACATATTTTGGTAAAAGAGCAGAGACAATTGTGGGATTTTTTAGAAAAAACAATGTGGAAGTGTCATGCCAGGTTATCTAGTCACATTTTTGATGCCAAATATAAACTGGACAAGATGGAGANCAAACAGTTAGGAAGTTTATATATACCTCCAGATTCATTTTTACAATTTATCATTCATCTAGAGACATCATTTCTCAATCATTTCAAGAATTTATGTGCGACTGATTGCATAGGCAACCAGCTCAAAACAATGTTTCCAAAAATCACCTTTGTGATAATTTTCCCTTGGATTATTTATTTTCTCTTTTCACAAGGGTAGGAATTGATTATACTTTGAAATTTGCCAATAGAAATTTGAAAACAAAAATAAAAAAAATCAAAAACTCATCTTTTTGAAAAACCTTTAAAATAGATTAGCATAATTTTTTGACCTAAATTGTATAATCTTACTACATAAAATATATGTTTATTTCACCATCTTGTCTTGTTTTTTATCAATTCCTAAACAGTTCACAATCATATGAGCAATGATGAAGTCAGATCATGGTCACATATTTTTTGATCGAACCTTGTGCAGAGGTGTACAACAGCTCTTAGCCTACACCCTCCTGCCCCGCTACATGCCAGCAAAAAATAAAATCCCGACTCAAAACATCAAAGAAACCGACCGGGAGTGAATTTACTTGTGTTTACTTATATACGGTGGTATTACTGTATTACCTAACGGCAGAGTCGTTCGGGAGATAATAATAACCCTCTCCTACTCTCACATTTCTTTCATCAAATAGATGAACTGATAAAGAAAACACCCACGAACTATAATGGGGAATTTCATTAGTTTAAACTTCCATTGTCTAATGATGTGATTTGAAATCTTTGAAATAACAAATTTAAAAAAATATTTCATTTCAACGGATTTCAAGCCGTTTTTTCACGGCGTTTTCGGGTGATGACTGGACTCATTTCTCCGAGAGGAGGAGGTATTTTGAGTGCTTCCACCTATCCCATCTTCCCTCTCTCCGCTTAACTGGTTTAGCGAGAGTGGCCGTTTGGCGGGAGTTGACCGTTTTTCTCCTCAACATGGGATTCCTTACGTCACGTATCTCTACGCTCTATGACGGGTCCCATTTGCTGGTTTCTCCTCGCTGTGTGTGTTTCTTGTTTTCGGCAATGCGGACTCTCGGTGGCCTCTTAGTTTCACCAATTTAGGATTTGCCGCCCTCACAGGGTATCTGGTAGATGCAATTCTTGGAATCGCAGTCCGCGCTTGGTGGCCTAGTTTTCATGAGAGTGCTACGGATGGTGTTTCCGGATCTGGAGCAGGTTCAGATGTAGTACCCAATTCTTTTTATCCTTTCCGATAATTCTCTGATGTAGGGAAGTGCAAGTACTGGTTGTGACGGCTTTCCTTCCTTGTGAAGCTCTTGCTATTTTTCAGCCGAAGTCTGTTCTACCATCACTTTGGAGTAACCATTCCGTTGAAAATCTTTGTTGATGATGTCTACTTCCTTCTATAGACCTTCCTTCGTATTACAGAGCCCGAAAGCACGGTCTACTTCTCTTGACGATACTTCTTTTGGTAGAATGAGGGTTTATGGATTCGTGATTCAGATACTGTCCTGTGTGAGTGTGTTTTTGGTATACATATGTTTTCCACTCAGTGTCGGTCTTCTTCACCAATACGCCTGGAAATGGCCATTTGTTTTGGAATTCCTTCTCCATTATGAATGTGATGGAAGGTCTCACACTGTCGATGTGATTCAGAAAAGTATTTAGATCTGCATGCTCATGTGTCGTCAATGTATCTCAACCAGACTGGGGACTTCTTGTGGGCTTCTTCAATGACCAGAGTTTCAAACCACTCTATATAGATGTTGGTGCAGGTAAATTCATTCCATCTTTCAGGTTCCCGTCTTCGGATAATTACCTCTGTATAATTTGAAATGCTTCTTCGACAGAAACGTTGGTGTAAAGGCTTTCCACGTCAAAACTGATCAAATGATCTTGCTCTGTGTCTTGCCCCTAGTAATTCCACAAAATGCCTTGAATCATTCACAAAAGATGGAGTCTTTCTTACTATATGACTATAATGGGTTTGTCCTAAAAGTTCATGATTGGTTGAAAGTACATGAACCTGAATAATCCTTGTTACTTATAAAAATTGATGACAAGTGTTCAGATGGAAACTCACACTCACAATTTCGATGAAGATAATAAGAAATGGTTTTCGTAAAGATGAAACCAGTTCAGAAAACTCACTTAAGGAGTATTGGCAAATCAGAAATGAACATATACAGACGGACAGATATACCTATGTACTTTTTTTTTGTTTTCGGACGGTAATAGTAAATTTTTGTGCATTTGTGTCGAGTCTCGTAGATATACTGGAGTTTTTCGTAGATATGTATTTTTTCATGTATTTTTGATATGGAACTCAAGAGAATAACATGATTTTGTCATTTAGCTCGATAGGTTCGTATAGTCCGTGGATTCTCAAACCGACTCAAACAGGTACAGATGACGATTTTACGCTCCTCCAAGAGGCCTTATGAAAATATCGCTTTCGATTTGCAGTAATATTGTACAAATTGTATTTTCGATTTCAAATTGAGAAATATTCTGCTTTTTATGATTTTCAGTTTTAACAAATAGGTATAGACTTTTTAGGAAATATTCAGGTTCATGTACCTTTCTCCAATCACATGGAACATATGTACCAAATATGCCAAAGATGTCTACAAAATTATCTCAGTTATTATTAAAAAACTGATTATTTTTGAAAACTTTGCCACCCTGTATCTCAAAAGTTAAGGCGTTTAGGATATACGTCCATAGGACGTTTTTTTCCTTAAAATGGGTATAAGAATTACCTCCTTAAATATTAGCATGTGATTAAGAAACACCCTGTATATAGAGTGTCTTGAAACTCTGGTAATTGAAAAATCCCACAAGAAGCCTCGAGTCTGGTTGAGATACTTTGACGACATCTTCATAATATGGAATCAGGAGAATGCAGAACTAAACACTTTTTTGAATCACATCAACGGCGTTAGACCTTCCATTACTTTCACAAAAACCCTCAATCTACCAAAAGAGGTATCGTCAAAACTCTAGTAGGCCGTGCTTTCGGGCTCTGTAATACGAAGGAAGGTCTATAGAAAGAACTAGGTATCATCAAAGGAGATCCTCAACGGAATGGTTTCTCCAAAGTAATGGTAGAACAGACTGTGGCTTAAAGACAGCACGAGCTCCGCAAGGCAGAGGATTACAATTTTCATTTGTTATTTCAGAGATTTCGAATCATATCATTTTAGACAATGGAAGTCCGAACTAATGAAATTATCCATTATAGTTCGTGGGTGTTTTCTTCATCAGTTCATCTATCTGATGAAAGCAATGTGGGAGTAAGAGTGAATTATTATCATCTCCCGAACGACTCTACCGTTAGGTAATACAGCAAACCCCAATAATTGCTTCGGTCAATGAACAGAAGATTTTTATTTGAGAGAAAAGGAGACATTCTGTGAAGCAGATCAGTTGAAAATAATCGTTTTGGCTTTCTACTTCACCATCTACAAAAAAATAACTTTCTTCCTTTTTTCCTTCCTCTCTTTCTTTCTTCCTTTCGTTCGCTCCTTCGTTCTTTCTTTTTCAGAAGTTTCCCATATTTCCTTTCCGAGGGAAAGTGAAAACAGGAGGAATGTTCAGATCATCATATCTCCAGTTTGAAACTTTCGATGACGCGATGAAATTTGAATTTAACTCACGATCGAGAGTTTCCATGACTTGTATTTTTTTTCGTTTTTTGCAGCATTTCTTGATTTTACTGTGATTATTTGACATGAAATATGTATTTGACTCCTCTCAGTAATCTGGAAATTGACAGTGATCCGTTATATTTTTGCAGGTTTGGTTATGCTCTGTGGACTCGTCATGTATATCGCCGTATTCAAGTTAGAAGTAGCTGGCAAACTGCGACCAAAATCACAACTTCAACCTGCAGCCTTCGAATACATTTATGGTTATTCCTTCATCATTTATCTTATCGGACTTGTATTCACTAAACTTTCTGGAATATCATGCGTTTTCTTATACATATATAGAACTCAATACAAGTCGAGAAGAAAACAGTTGGATTATATGAAGAAAGCGAGTATGTCTCTGCCAGAGGGTAGTTTTTCTGACACCAGAGGATCATCAATGTTATTTCCATGTGAACGTCATCCAGAGTCTTCTGTCAATTTCAATAGTGCATTATTATATACAAAAAACAATTTTCTCAATGAGAAAAACTATTTCGCAAGAAGGAAAAGATATATTGTTCCTTGTAGTATCCATCGGCATATATCTCAATCAAAATCCTTGAGAGACATATCTATTTTTTATAACTTGCCGCCTCCCCCTCATATAACATCATATCTCAGTGTAGATGATTTGAATAATCTGAAAGTTTTGTCTAGAGAGATAACTAAAAACACATTGAGCACAACAGCAGACACAGTGAGCGATGAACTCTTCGATGAAAATTATTCCATTAGGTATGAAGATGAATTTGTACCATTCGAATTCGATCCACCCAGTTTTACTGATATGAATCCTAGAACTTCAGAAAGACGAACTTTCGGAATGGAATCTTTGAGAAAGACTACCCCTGTTTGATAAATATTCCAGCAGAGAATGTAGATGTGGTGTCAAACAAAGTTATTATCGTACAAAACACATTCCTCTTCCTAAGTTGGAGCGAACAACAAAATGTCACTCCATCTAGTGGACGAGGAACTAACCAACTGCATATCCGTAATTTGCCCGATTCCTCTGAATAAGGAAGAAAAACTTTCTTATTAGTCAGTGGGCTATGCTTGAAGACTGGCAGTAAACAAATCTAAAGAAATGAACTTTATATGTTCAAGCCAGTCTCGAATACGGATATGCAGTTGGTTAGTACCTCGTCCACTAGATGGAGTGACATTTTGTTGTTCGCTCCAACTTGGGAAGAGGAATGAAATACTCCGAAAAATTCCGATTTTCAATTAAGGAATATCATTGACTTTAGGTCGATGATGGCCACTATTTTGCACTGATGAGTGGCTAATGAACCCGAAACCGTTCTGCAAGTGTGCCCGTTCCATAATTGAAGGTCGACTCTTTCAGTGTATTGCCAATTGCATATGCAGGACATTTTCTGTGAAGATTCCTGCACTGACGCCTGTCTGATATAATCCAACGCCCTTCGTGGTATTAGCCAGGGGAGTAGTTGTTTTCTGTTAGGTGTCTGTTCATTCAACCTACTGTGTAGGTATATTCGAAACAGGCTTGAACATTTAAAGTTCATTCCTTTAGATATTCACATTTGATGTTACTTCTCCTATCGCACCTCCAGAACACGTCACCAATTTTTTTTGAATGGATCACCCTATATTCTATCGCATTATCAGATGCTCCATGATGAGCAACAAAGTATAAAATATATGGTCTGAAGCTTATGGTTCGGGAGCTACAAATTATTTGATTTAAAAACGAGCCACCTTGAATAACTTTTGTACTTTTTTGAAGAATATATCACAAAAACTCCTATGAAGCCTAGGCAACAGATTGTACAGAATTTCATTCAGGGTGCCTCGTTTTCAACTAAAATAATTTTCAGCTTAGAAACTATGAGCTTCAGACCATAATGTATTCTAATTTGTTGAAATTTGTGCATCATGAAACATCTGATAATGCAAAACAATTGATGAATTTAAAATAAATGGTGACATGCTCTGGGGATGCGATAGGAAAAGTTACATCAAATGTGAATATGTCAAAATATGTCCCTTGTACACTAATATTGAGGTGTTTTTTATTTTTCTTGAAAATCAATCTTCCAAAAGTTATTCAAAATATATTGAAAATGTATTGGAAAATCAAAAAGTTGATTTAATTACAAGGCAGAGTGAACGCAATGTAAATACAAAAATTGTATATAGTAAATAAGTATATATAATAATTGTATATACAAGTATTTGTAAATATAATTTAATTGAATTTTTCCCAAGGGGGTATATTAACCCAAGTGGGGAACAACGTGACAACACCGTTTGTAAATAGGATATCAACAAGTAGACAGTGGATGGTAAGTTGTCCTTGAAGAGTGACGTTTGAATAGGCAAATAAACTATTCAAAGTAGGTTGTTTTTTTGCTCAACTTCCTCAATTCCATGACATCACAGTCCACATATCTGTACAAAAATGAATGTTTTATACCCAGGTTGGAATTCACTATAGAGGTTGCCAAGTTGTTCATAAATATGTGGTCGTAGAGACATCGATGATGCAGAATGCACTGGACGTCCAAATGAGGCAGTAACACCAGAAAACATAAAAAAGCCATAAAAGCTTTTTGAAGGATCGACATGTGAAGTTGCTTGAGTTATTTTCAAATATAGAAAATAATCGTGAAATAATTCAGATTCATTTAGTTAAATACATGAATTGGAAGATCTTCCAACCTCACTTCAATATTTTAACACAAAAACACTCAGTATTCAGAATTCCATCTTTCAATATTTCAAGTTCTTAGACATCGAAATTGATCTGATCACAGGATATAGAATATAAACAATCTCCAAATACGCAAACTTGGCACAGATTGCATGCTGAGCATTTTACCTTAGTACAGTGACCGGATCATAGTCGCAATGTCAGCGTATAATTCTTTATGAATATTGAGGGAGGTCAAGATGATTAACAGACAGTATTCAGATTTTCATTTGAGTATCTATTGATCATCATCAATGCTGCACATCTCCTCCTCTTCGATCCTGCTGGGTGGCAGCTTAATGTAAGTTTTTGGTGTTTCAATGTATATTCCTCATTAACATTTGAGTGTGAGTTTATTTAAAGTATTTTTTCCGTTTCATCCACAATAAATATTCAATTAAGTTTTTAATGAGTTCTTTCATTATTTTGGATGAATGAATGAATGGGTGAAACAGCGAATAAAATCCTCTCGTTAATAGCCAGGCGGGTACTAAGTTGCGACATTATATGACATTGTAAAGATATATCAAAAAAACGTGTGGGCTTTATATTGCATGAGAATTTGACTATGAGAAAGCTCTGTTCAAAGTGGGTGCGCGAACTCACTGAACGTCTTAGTGATTCTGAGCAATGTTTGGTCATGTTTGAACATGAAATAATTTTTGCGTCAATATGTGACAATGGATGAAACATGGATCCATCACTCCACTTCGGAATCAAAACGATAGCCATCTGAGTGGAGTGTAATGGACTCATTCAGGCTAATTTAGTTATTTATTGAAAATTATATATTATAAAAGTAAATCATCTAAAAGCATGCGAAAGCACAACAATCGACTGAAAAGGTTATGGCCTCGGTATTTTGAGGTGTACGTGGTGTAATAGTCTTCGACTATCTTAAGGAGGAAAATACCATCAACATTGAATATTATATTGCGTTATTGGAGCGTTTGAAGGCCAAAATTGCAAAAAAAATGACCGCATAAATATGGCGAATAAAAAAAAGTGTTTCATCAAGACAACGCACAGTGTTACAAGTCGATCAAAACAATGTCAAAAGTAGATGAATTGATCTTCGAATTACTCCAACATCCTCCGTATTCGCCAGATTTGGCTCCCAGCGACTACTGGCTGTTCGCAGACCTCCAAAAAATGCTCACCGGTGAGAAAGTTTGCTCGAATGGAAATGTTATTGCTGAAATTGAGGTCTATTTTGAGGCAAAAGATGAATCGTTCTACCAAAGTGGTATTGGAAAGTCAGAGCGGCACTGGAATGATTGTATAGCTCTTGATGGAGATTAAGTTGATGAATAAAGCCAATTTTTAAAAAAAAGCGTTTAATTTATTGAGCCCAGGACTCGCCGGTAGACCGAGTATTATGTCGAATCTTTGGTTATAACAACTTTAGCAGTGGTAGGCTTTGAATATGATTTAGTGTTGAGCTTTTAATTTAATTCAGTCATTCATTTATCAATTCTGGAAATCGGGAAAATCGAGTAACTGAACTATTTACAGAATTTCTCAATTATATTACATACTGAATATTGTTTTCATGCAATACAGTCATTCATTTATCAATTCTGGTAATCGGAAAAATCGAGTAACTGAACTATTTACAGAATTTCTCAGTTATATTACATACTGAATATTGTTTTCATGCAATAGTCAATTCACAGAAACTTGATTTTTTCCAGTGTCGTCGAACATCATGGAAACTTTCTCACACATATGCTTGTCTCCATCTGGGGTTACCATTATACACAATAAAGCTTTTCTGGAATTATCGTCTAAACCGTCTTTGATAGCTGCATCACTATTTTTTAATCTGAAACTGAAAAAAAGGCGAGGAAATCATTATCATAACAGAATTTATATTCTCTGGGAATAATTCAACTATATACATTTTCTACTGTCAAAAAAGTCTTGCACAATCTGATACTATGTAGGTACTCAGTAGGATTTTGTTGACCGTCGTACATAGTGTGTTAATTTGACCTAATTTCCTATTTTATATTAACTATTTTTAACTGTAAGTGAGGAATATTCGATTATGGAAACATATAAAAAAAGTAATACTAATTATGAAATAACAAAAAATAATTGGCGATCCGGGGCGACTTGTTTGATTCCAGTGGTGCATTTGCTTTTTCAGCTGCAGGAAAACCCGAAAAAACCTTCAGTATCACATCATCTGAAGATCTTGATCTGCCAGTGTCCTTTCTTTCATAAAATAAAATATAGGGTATCTCCAGATGCTCCAATTAATTCAAGATACTGATATGATATTACGTCTTTGTAATAATGACCAGATTCATCACCAGAAATACAGTGAACAATGACTGCATGAAGATTATAATAGTGGTCTGCTAGATTCAAGTGTTCATCTCTTTCGAACCTTCGTAAGAGTTTGGTGCTTCCATCAGAGGTTGAGTTATGTTTGAAGATCATCAGTGTTACTATTAGATTGACAGATGCCTCAGCTATACTTGTTGTCTTATAATAGTCCGTTAGTTTGGCGCATATTAGGCAATACATCTGATCATTACTCGTTGAAATTCCTATTTTCATATGATTCAACAATAAGCTTTGCACAGACTGGTTATCAGTCATATTAAAATCCTTAATATGATTTCAATTATATTGTTGAGGGATTGCCATACTTGTGTGGATAGAAGAATACTCCCAAGTCCTTGTAGCTGTCTGTTTTTACGAGTGAATCATCGTTTATAGTATAATTCTGGTCAAAAGTGGTATGTTTGTTACAAAAGGTGGTATATTGACATTTACCTGAATTTAGAGGAGGACTGTTTAATTCACATTATTTTATAGTATTTGGTTTTCATTAGGTGAGTCTGTGACGCAATGTTGTGAGTTGTATAGTGTGACAGTAATGATGTCCATGAATGAGTAATCTCTGAATATCATCTTGTTTGTTGAGGCAGTTGGGAAGTTTTTCAGTTTCATTACCTCCGCAAATTATCCTGGCCTTGAGAGTTTTTCCGGTGGCAATGGTTTTGGTGTTTTCGAAGGTGATTTTGTGGCCTGTTTCACGATAACGTTTTGAGGGAGATGAGACTGGATCTGATTCATGGACAGCAAGCTAATGTTCATAAGCTCTGTTAAAAAGTATTCTGTTGATCTGGCCGATGTGAATTCTGGAGAAGATGGAACGTGGTATTTCGTATAAGC